ACTGAACCATCTCTCCAGCCCCATCCTGACTTATTTCAGATTTGGCAGTTTCTTTGATTGAGTGATCCATTTCCCCAAGCTTGTCTTCAAGATCTAATATTCTCTGTTCCATTTCTTCCAGTTCCTCTCTGCTTCTTTCTGCTAAGCTTTTTGTTTGAATTCCTGAGTTTTTTATTTCAGTTTAATTTCAGATTTGCTTTTCTTCTGAGAGTCTATGTCTGTATTGAATTCTAGTTTCATGTTTGGAATTGTTTTAGTTATTTCATTCAACTGTTTGCATTTTCACGGTTTTCATTCAGTTTTTTTATTCATATCTTCTTTGGATTCTGTGAACACATTTATAATTGCTATTTTGAAATCATTGTTTTGTGCAACCACTTGATTGTCATTCTCAGGAAACATAATGGGATTGTTCATTTCTGTATTAGCCATACACTCTTGGTTATTCATGTTTGGGTTTTTTGCTGAGGCCCAGGCATCTGGACTTATTTGGTGGTGTGTCTTGTTATGAGTAAGTGATCTCATCCTTGTTGAATGTTTGTTTGTATCTTGTTTGATGCTTCCTAGCTTGTCAGTTTATGGCCCAGCTGAGTAGTGCTTGATGTTCAGTTTGGGGGCCATTTTATGTTGATGTACAATTTGGATGAAAGAAGTGGTCTCAGTTCAGGTAGAGATAAGTACAACTTTTCAGTTGTGATTTCAAGATTGACTGCACAGGGTCCTAGATCAGCAGGTTGTGATGGAGCTGCTAAATGATCAAGTTGGCTAGTAGGTTAGAGTGAGAGTTTGCAGGTCTGGGGTAAAGAGAGCTCAGATGGCAGTGTGCTAGGAAGTCTCAGGGAAGTAGTTCCAAGTCCCAAGTCTGGGGAGTGGGGAATCACAGGCGAGTCAGGCTGGGCTGAGAGCTGAGATGGAGGGGATCAATAACCCTCAATATTAACAGCCATTAATTCTCCAATAAAAAGACAGAGACTAATTGGATCAGAAAACAGGATCCATCAATTCATTGACTCCAAGAAAAACACTTCACCATCAGTGATGGAGAAAGGTATTCCAAAGAAATGGAAATAAAAAACAAGCAGGCATAACTATCCTAATATCTAGGGAAATTGACTTCAAACTACAACTAGTTAGAAGCAGTAAGGAAGGACATTTCATACTCATTAAAAGAAAAATCCATGAAAGGTATCTTAAACATTTATGTACCAACACTGAGACACTCAACTTCATAAAAGAAACACTATTGGATCTACAACCACCGACTTACCCCAACACAGTGATAGTGGGTGACCTCAATAACCCACTTTCACCGACAGACAGGTCATCCTGACAAAAACTAAATGAGAAACCCCAGAGTTACGGCATCTTAAATCAAGTGAACCTAACAGACATTTTACAGAATATGTCACTCAAACCATAAAGAATACACTTTCCTGCATCCCATGGAACTTTCTCCAAGACTGATCACGTATTAGGACACAAAACAAGCCTCCACAAATACAGGACAATTGAAATAACATCCTGCATTTTATCTGACCACAAAGGAATAAAGCTAGCTCTTCAACAATAATAGAAATGGGGAAAGGTACAAAATCTCATTTTGCTCTATAGCCCAGACCAAATGAACTTGTCATCTTCCTACTTCAACCTCAGGAAACGGCTGAGCTTGAGACTATAGGCTGAAGCATCAGGCCTTACTCTTTAAACATTTTTTAAAATGTCTTGACAATGCTTTAGACCAGGAAGTAAAGAGGAAAAAGTGATGTGGTTTTGTTGTCAAAAATGCAGTGTGGAGAGATGGCTCAGCGGTTAAGAACACTGGTTGTTCTTGTAGAATATCCAGGTTCAAATCCCAGCACCCACATGGCAGCTAACAACTGTCTGTAACTCCAGTCCCAGGGGATCCGACAGCCTCTTCTGAGCTCCGCGGGCATTGCATGACATGGGTGTACTTACCTACATGCAGGTAATACGCATGTACATATAAAATAAAAATAATAAACTTTTTAAATGCAGTGTCATTTCTTCATATTTAGTTTGAAATGCTTAAGATCTCCAAATTTAGCAGCAGGACTTGGAATTCAGAAAGGAGATCAAGATAAATAGGAAACTAAACACTAGAACAGGAAGCTTGATTACTCGTGACATTATGGTACTTTTCAGCAAGATTATATTTCAAGACAGATTAGGAAATCTGTTTTCATCCTTTCCACTGTGTATGACCTTGATGAGTCACTAGAAAAGAGGAAGATGGTTAGAGAGCTAAGAAAACTTCTGATGCTCATAGTCAGGCTAGGACAATAAATTGTTCTAAAATCCCCTGAACACAACCCTCTCACAGATCAACATGTTATTCCATATTTGTTCTCTCTAATGTATTTTAAGATTAAAGTCCACCAATTTTCCCCGATTCTTCTACATACCTTGTTTTTCTCTATACTCATTCCTAGGAAAGAAACCTTTGCCATCTCAGAGCTAGCTTGTATTTGCCTACGGTATTTTTTTGTTCACAATATCCATGTTAAAGTGTGGAAGCTACAGCCAGAGCAGGGACTGTATAAGGTGCATCTCTGTTTCCTCAGCACCAGGAAAATTAGTAGTTAAATAATGAAACTTGTTGAAACACTGGCTGTCTGTATACCTTTTATGATTGCTAAAAATAAAAATAAATAAAAATCCTATGGCTCTTAAGAGAATTTTTGAAGTTTTGTGAATACCAGCACATACAAAAGCCACAGCAGTGTCTTTTTTCTTCATTTTTTATTGAGATTTTATATCAAATAAGAAATTTTTCTTTATTTCATTATTTTCATTGTTTATGGCATTTATTAAGTATACAAAATAATTGTATATGATGTGATGTACATAATATTCTTTGATCATGGTCTCCTCATTACCTTCTCTTTCCTCTCTTCTATCCCTTGATTGGTCCTCTTCTTTCCCCCAAATAATCCACTTCTCTTCATGTCTTTTAAAATGTCTAGATTCTGTATATGAAAGCAGACATGAAGCATTTGTCTTTCTGGATCTGGCTTATTTTGCTTAACATAATAATCTCCACTTGCACTCATTTTCCCACAAATGATATAATCTCTTTAGTTATAGCTTCATCTGTATAATTCGTATTTGTAATATTCTTTATAACAAGCTAATAACCCTAAGTATTTCCCTGAGTTTTGTGAGGCATCAGAGCAATTTAATCAAATCCTCAGATTGGTAGCTATAAACCCCATCATCACAAAGATACAACTCTTACCTCAAAGGTGATAAGAGTTTATTTTATAGCCAAATATGAGTAACCATGGCCCAGAAACACAAATTTAAGTTACCCCAAATTCCATGTTCCAACTTTGTAACAGTTTAATGAAGTTTTATAGTAATAGGACAAAGAAAGTCATAAATCAAGGTTCCTTTTCAATACATTGGTGGAAACTTTAGGTAGGCAGGTTACAACAAAGTGAGGAAATTGTTGTAGGCTTCAAATATTATCTGACAGTGTTCTTAGCCCTTTGGTTGGTTTAAAACTAGAGGTCTGTTCATACATTCCAAAGGATTTACTTAATGATCACAAAGATGCTGAGTCATGTACAGAAGGGGACAATAAATGGCTATTAAGGGAGGGGGGTGGTAAAGATGCCCTAAGATAATTTGTTTGTGAACTTGCAACATTCCAACCTCTCCACATCATTGAAGTTCTAATCAATCAATCAGCTTTGCAGAAGGTCTAGTGCAAGGTTTAGAAAGGAGCAACAGAGGAGGAGCAACCAAAATATGATTGGACAAAAAGAACATGGCCTAAGGCCAATAGACTAGCTGAGAAACTCTTGAAGGCCTGCTTCAGCATCCTTCCTCTCTCAGTATAGCAGTCCTCCCTCCTGGATATGGGGAGGACCCTGAGAGAAGGGGCATATTGTTTACATTAGATAAGGGTGGATCTGAGAATTATTTATGTCAAACTTCAAGACACAAAGTTGGGAAAACACTGCTTTCTATGGCTTTTCTCAGAGAAAGTTTATTGCCCAACAGTTATAAACATGTGTGTGCGTGCGCGCGTGCGTGCGAGAGAGAGAGAGAGAGAGAGAGAGAGAGAGAGATGCTACATGAATGTCATAATGTCCCACATATTAGTAATTTAAGATTCAGGCTGGAGAGACTGCTCAGAGATTACAAGGACCTGGATTCAGCTCCCAGCACCCACATGGCAGCTAACAACCATCAGTAACTCTGGTTCCAAAGGATCGGACATCCTCTTCTGGCCTCTATGGGCATTGCACAGCACAGGAGTACTTATATATATGCAGGCAAAACATCCATAAACATAAAATAAAAATAAATTTTTGGAATAATAAAACTAAGGTTTAAAATAATGTGGAAAAGATTCAGGAAGACATCCAACATCAACCTCTGGTCTCCATACACAAATACAGACATGTTCATATGCACACAGAAGTATACACATATACACACCAAAAAAGATGCATGCAAAATGATATATAGTGTATTATAATCTTGATGTACAGTTCTTAAATTAAAAATGAAGTGACATTTCTATAAAATTCATATTTGTTGAATGTATTATTCTTCTATGGTGTGTTTGTTCAAATCTTTTATCCATTTTTGTCTTTTTCTGATTGTGACAGTTGTTTATACAACTTAGTATTGTGTTAGCTGTATTTGAAATATTTTCTCCTACTTCATTTTTTTCATTTTCTTTATAGTATTTTTATAAACAGAAGTCCATTATTTTAGCATAGAATTTTTAATTATATTTCTTCTTGTCACACATTTTGGGATCTTAACAAAACTGGTGCAGTGATGAAAATTCAGTAGTCATATATGAAATTCTGAAAAAAAGTTTAAAATCTTTAATTATTAAAAAAACTGTTGAGCCTGACGTGGCGCACACCTTTAATCCCAGGACTTGGGAGGCAGAGGCAGGTAGATCTCTGTGAGTTCAAGGCCAGCCTGGTCTACATAGTGAGTTCCAGGACAGCTGGGGCCACAGGGTGACCCTGTCTCAAAAAGACCAAAAAAAGAAAACCTGTTGGAATAACCAGCTTCCAAGAGGACCCCCCAAAACTGTCGCCTCTCTTAGTCACACTTTGGGGTAGTCTCTTCATACCCACTTTGAAGTATCTGAGCAGTGAGAGGCAGAGGTTCCGATGTGCAACTTCTGAACCCACCCTATAAAACACTGCAGTTTTCACTAGATCTTTTGGACCCATCTCTCAGGTGGAAGGTGACCAACATGTTGTGAGCACATATAAGTCACCTTACGGAGATTTTCATGTGGCGAGGAGCTGAGCTGGTGCCTAGCAATAGTCAATACCAAGTTGCCAGCCGTGAGAACAAACCACTTAAAATGCAGCCTAAAGTTTTGTCAGAGCTTTAGATGTTTGCGGTTCCAGCCACAGCTGTCACCAAAGGGATTTTTCATGGCATTTTGAGAATGGATAATTTTCCTACAGTGATGCCTTATAAACCTTCCAATAGACAAAAATAGCACAGTCTCTGCAAACAGAAATGTCTGTGGACGTATGAAAAAAGAAATCATGACTAATTAGTGAAAGAAAGAACAAAGGGAGGAAGGACTCGTTCTACTGCTAGTGGAAAGGGAGACTCAAAAAGATGATTATAGTCACATTTCAAGAAGTTATCACTTCATGTTAGGTCCAAATTTTAAAGGTACAAATGAATAAAATTTCACTCATAAGTAAATCTTACTCATTTCACATATTGAATTCCGATTAGTATTACAGAAAACATCATTCCAACCCCATCCTCCAGGGCTCCAGAAAACTATTGAACCACATCTCTCTTCAGGAAAATTAGGCTCATTTGGGTGCCAGAACCTAAAGAGAAACAAAAGGTAGAAATAATTCCTTCCTGAGTGCATAGTAACTGATTGAAAGTTGGAGTTTAGTTCCACTCACCCAGCGCTCAGGGACCATTGCAGAAGAGGGGGCAGAAAGACTGTAAGAGCCAAGGAGTCGGTGCATAACCATATGGAAATAGAGTCCTACAGGCTCCTGGGACCTTGCTCACATGAACCTACAGCAATGATGTCAGCATGCATAAGACCCATGCAAACTCAAGCACACAAAACCCCAGCACAGAACTCTGGAAATGAGCAGCTGGCCAAAATCTTAGTTGAAGAATTATCAGCAGCTGTGTTCAAGGCCAGCCTGGTCTACATAGCAAGTTCCAGGCAATCTAGTTTTTCATCTTATTAATTTTTTATCTTGAGCAAGTTGTTCAATATTTCATATACAGGATGAGTTTCTAAAATAGATGTTTTTGTGCAATTTGAGGAGATTATTCATGCACTCAGTAAGAGCTTAATCTGTTATGATTGTTAATACTAATAACAACTGCTAAGAAAATTTCCCTAAATTTTTTATATAAACAAGGCCCAATGGCAGTCTAGGACTGTACTCATGGATCATCAGTCTAGGACTGTACTCATGGATCATCAGTCTAGGACTGTACTCATGGATCATCAGTCTAGGACTGTACTCATGGATCATCAGTCTAGGACTGTACTCATGGATCATCAGTCTAGGACTGTACTCATGGATCATCAGTCTAGGACTGTACTCATGGATCATCAGTCTAGGACTGTACTCATGGATCATCAGTCTAGGACTGTACTCATGGATCATCAGTCTAGGACTGTACTCATGGATCATCAGTCTAGGACTGTACTCATGGATCATCAGTCTAGGACTGTACTCAAGGATCATCAGTCTAGGACTGTACTCACTTGACGTTTTGCTTGAAAGGTGTATTATCGATCCATTGCCATTTGCCATTGCCTTGTGGGTCAGAGAGCCCCAGAAAGTATGAAAGTGACTCATTCAGCTGTTGGATGATGAAATTCTGTGTGGAAAAAAAAGGAGTTGTAGATTTGGAATTTACATATTGAACAAAAATGAGCATTCTTTAGAGCGTTGACAGCTATGTGGAATAGAAAACACACAAGTGAAAGGAATGATCATTTAATGGCACACTAACCAAAAACAGGCCAAAACCAGCATTGTCACAAGGGAAAGACAGTCTTAGCCTGTGAATTACCATCATTCATTTTTCACCAAGAAAAGGGATTGTCTCCAAAATCCATAAGGCTATTTTTATATTTTGAATATTTTTTGAGTTTTATATATTCAGAGGTTATGATGGTAAGTAAATTCTATGTGTCTGGGAGTGTGTACCCCCAGGTCACTCATACACCTCAGCAACCCCCAGTCATCTCTGTAAGTAAGCTCAGTAAATTCATTGGTTCCCCAGGACAATTTTAATCAAACATTGCCTTGACACTAGAACCTTAAAATGGGATAACCATTGCTTAGTATCCCCAGGAAAAGAATTCTCACGACAGATGGAAAATTTGTTAATGATATTGTGTCTCATAATTATTTAAAAAGAAAGAAAAGGAGAATGCAAAAGATGTTAAAAGGATATGAAAATGGAGATATTTTCCAAAATAGAAAAAATGAGAAAGCCTAAGTAAGTGATGAAGGTCTGTGTGGGTTTGTTATGATACATAAAGGATGAGAAAAAAATAATATACACATAATCTTCAAACGTCAAAGCTCATAGTTTAATCAACTAGTTTAAGGAACAAAATACATATCTAGTCAAAGTTTATCTGAGAATATTTGGTTTTTTAACCCAAGCTTTAGCTACACAGCACGTGGTAATTAAAACTACCAGACTGGTGGAACTAACCTTATTGGATGTTTGACAACCATACTTTGACGCCTATAGTAATCTGGTCAAAGGGACTTAAAGGATGGTTTTTGCTCCTTACCCTCCAAGGTTGACTAAGTTGACAATGGAGCATCTCTCAAAATGTCCTGTAACTGTGGTAAGTCACCTGTCTTCCTGTTCAGGGAGGACATGGAGACCCCATTAGATGGACTTGAACCAGTGTCCAGTCTACAAAAGGGAGGGTCAACTCAGAGGAAACATCTCCTCCATGGTTCCAAGTGAAGCCAGACATGGTCAAGCAGGACCTTTGACTTATCTTTACATAGATGGAACTGGTAAAAGAAAGGAGCCAGGGGCTCTTCCCAAGCCCATGTGACCTCTGAGGAACAGATCCTCAAATTACCTGAAGAGTAAAAACAAATTGGTTTATTTGGGCCAACTGTATGGTCTTAAACACCCAAAAGGAAAGTATAACCAAAGATTAAAGTGATGTAAAGTGATCAGTATATTCCTTTAAGAGTTCAAGGGATTACACTTCTTAGACATTAGGCTTAAGTCCATATAAAATGTTATTTAGACAATTATTTCTCATTGACAATTTTGTTCCTAATCAGAAAGTTCTGCTCAGATGTAAGACTTCAAATCTTGGTCTGCAATACTGTAGTGCCCACTTGTAGCTAAGGGAGATAACCCACTATTGTTCTAAAATGATGGATAAATTTGTTTTCTCCCCCATCTAGAAGCCTTTGAGAGGGAACTGACACTGATTCTAGCCATTCGAACAGCTGTCAAAGTGCCTGAAAACAAATCCTGAGTCCATCATTCTCAAGTCCAGCTTTGGCAGACGAAAGAAAAAATGAGGAGGAACACAATAGAGGAATGCTTTTGGAAACCCTCATCAAGAAATCCCAATAGACTCTGATATGAACATTTGAAATTTGCCCTGTTCTGGCTTTTTTCTGGTTCCCTGTCTAGAACTTGTAATGCTAACTACTCTTGCCTTTACTTCTCCTTCACATCTCCTATTCATGATTCAAGGACTTTCTTTTCCCCTTAGAGACAAGAGTTATGCAATTTTGGAGTCTTTTAGATAAACCCATGGAAGGGGTACTCCAATTGCCTCACTCTGCATCCTTGTTCAGCATGGAAGAAGCCAGAGTGGTCTGTGTCCCTATTCCCTATTGGCACTTTGGGTAACCCCTTCAGAGGATGGTCTGATAAGAATAGGAGGTATGGATTGGCTAGA